CGAGGAAGGTCAGACATATTACGGCAAACATCTGTGATGGACTAGACATTTGGTATTTTTGTGTTATTAATTCTTCCTGTAACTTGCTGCAAATATTATGTGTGCTTGTTTTCCTGTTTCTTATGAATAAATTGTGCTGAGTAAGACCTAATGGTTTAGGTTTTGCACAATTTTCAGGCTCTCTGATCAGATCCCTAAGTTTTCACCAATAGATATATTCTTGAAGCGCACAGCCTACCCCTTCTAAACATAGAACCTCTAAAAAGTCATCAGACTACTACATTTCTCCAGAGCTGCACAGGATTCTTTTCCTATGGCATTCCTCTCCCTAAAAAAAATTTTAAAAATTAGATGGAAAATGGAAGACCTTTCTTTTGATACTGGAAGGAGCATGGAGAAGAGAGCTGGAAACACTCACATCTGTGTTCGGCTGCCCTGCTAGGGTTGGATCCTTTCTGCACACTCCCTAGCTCAATCTCAGAAAGGGAAGCCTGCTAGTAAGAATTTGTACTCAGCCATAGCCATTAAGTTACTTGAGCCAAGAACCATGGGTCATATATGTATATTGTATTTATCTGCATAAAAAGCAGAGCACCAACTACACTCAGGGTCAGACTGCAAATCTGTTTGGATTTGCCAGACATTATCAAAGTAAAATAAACCAAGAAAAAGTATGGATTACTACTTACCAGGGAATAACAAACAACAGATGATGGAGAAAAAGCTGCAACAGTCATTGCCCTTTTTAGCCCTCACACAAATAAATTAATTGTGACCTAATTAGTTTCAATAACCAGGAAAGCTTGGAAAAGCCTGAAGAAAGAATGAGTTAATGAATCTGTGAGTTACATTTAAGAATCCTACAACTATAAGCAAGCATAGGTCCTGCTCACCAGCCTGATCTCCTCCCATCAAGGGCATAGGTTCACAAAACAGCTGAGTAAAATTAACAGCTCCTCAGTGAGGGAGGTCTCATAGCCTTTCCCTTTGCTGATGCTCTCCCCTCCACACTCTCTTTCCTTCACCCTTGCAAGATTTCTGGCACTGCAAGGTAGAGCAATTGGACTCATTATGCCTGTAAAGAGCTACTCCCTCTTTTGCCACACTCATATTTTTTTGCCATTTTTGCAGGGTCAGTCAACTTGCAGTGCATTCAAATGCCAAAACAGTGCAAAGGCAGCAGCAGGAGCAGCCAGCCAGGCACCTCATCCTCCCTGCCATGGTTCAGCCAGCTCGCTCCAAAAGCACCCCAGCAGCCCGAGAAACTGAGGTAATAGCAGCCTGGCAAACGTTTTGGTGTAGAGGGATCATTTACCTGACAGTCTGAATTGTATTTACAGCAGAAAAAGGTCTCCTTCCAAAGCATCCATCTGGATGTACGAATGGTCACAGGAAAGTGAGCTGTGAGAGAGGTTGTTCCATGTAGAGAATCAAATATGATACTTTTCCCATTGTTTACCCAGCTCCAATGCCTGAGACAAGAAGCCATGAGATGCTCAATACCAGTCACCACCAGTCCCCATGTTGCTGCATCCACTGGTGAGGAGCAACCCATCATATAAGTCATTTACATGAGAATAAAAAGCATGTTGTTACTGAATCAATCACCGTAGCACTAATGTGCAATATTTTCCATCCAAGATGATACACATTCATACTCTCTGATGGCCAGTGGGTACTAGAACTCATCATTGATTTTATTCCTTGCAGCTATTCCTCATCACAAAATAGTAAACTCAGGGTTATCTCAAGGACACATAATGCAACTACTCATATTAAATAGCCCCTCTTTTATCTCATCTCTGCAACTAATGTAATGCAGCTGAACCAAAAGTCATCATTTAGTGAAACCAGAAAGTTTTGCCATTTGTAATGTTAACAGATCACAGAAGTTTAGACTGAAAAGCATCTGGGTTCTTTAGGATCCAACAAAAGTCACGACAGGTGTTGTACATTCCCTTGGGATTTGAATGTTTATTTACAAATATCTGAAAATAAACACACAAGGTGGACACTTTGCCTCAAGAATCAGATCAAAAAAACCTTGAACCTTGCTTTCCATCTTTGTTTCTATGTAACAAACTAGGGATACTTGCCTCATCCCCACACTGAGCAACTTGTTACTGATGCTTTCTTTGCTTCAGCAGGTTTTATTTAGCTCAGGCTAGGACCGCGGTTTAGCATAACATGCTTCCTTATGCGCCTGCCATTTCTTAAGATCCCAATTAGATTAAAATATTCTCCCACCCTGAGGATTTCCTCGGTCATTAGTCAGAAATGAGATTCACTTTCTTCCCACCAGAACAGTCACTGCCTTGGCCTGCTCTGGAGATGCTAATTACTGCCTTGCAGTAAACAGGCAGCTCGTGACTGCTCCCGCCGTTAGCCAACCTCCGTAGAGACCATCAGCACATGGCCAAGCAGACCGTCCTTCTCTCCTTGCCTGGGCAATACCCAGATCCTAGTGTGAAGCTGTCCCATTGGCTTTTTTTATAATCTCATATTCCATAAACCCCATAATTAGCTAATCATACACCACAGCATGTTGCTGGCTCTCCTGTGAGATGAAACACAACGGTAATCAAATCACTTGCAGTGGTAACAGACCCTTGGGTGCCTGTATCCTGAGCTGCCTCTGCAGGCTACCACATCGCCAGACAAGACAAAAAAATTAACAAGCAAAACTCACATTTGTTTCAGGATTCACAGTGTATGGGAACCTAATCAGAGTCTGTGTAACACATTGGCAGATATTTGGACAAAACCACTTTAATTCCAAACAACGGACTCTCTCAGCTCCACTTGTATTTGCATTTTATAGGCATGGATCCTCAGAACTTGGCCCAGTCTGCCTTAGACCACCAACTGCACTGGGCTGCTCACGTGAAAATGAAGTGTACGAACACTGACACATCCAATCCGAATTCTCACTGTCTTCCTCCCTATCTACACATCTGATATCACACGTGTGAATGGCAGTGTCTGGCTTGAATCCAGATTTTTTTTTTTGTCATAAAGATTATTTTTAACAACTTCAGATCCCTTTTGTTACGCAAAAATATCATAACGCTCAAGATACAGCTTGATAACTTTAATGAGGCTTTGCAATTTACATTCAATATGTATTAGTACACAAAATATAAGAAATCACATATACATATAAACTTTTGTCTGTTTTACAGGTCAACCAGTATGAACTACACAAGCTACATTTATTCACATAACAAAATGGAACATTGATGAGCTTCATTCACCGATCAAATATCTGAACAATTTACGGACCAACATATTTTTGCAGCTGCTGAAACAACTATCTTCCATAAAGAACAAATAATTTATGTCAACAGATACACCAGCATCACATTCTCTGAAATGAAAAAGCCAAACTGAGCTCTGACTGAACATTTCCAGGTTTCAGCAGAACCCACACAAAAGCAACAGCGTGGAGCTTATACCAGCATCAAATCTGTCCACGGTTTATCAGCTCTGTGACTGAGGAAATAAATCAATCACATACAGAAATTCTTCAGGGTAAACAAAGCCATTTCATTTCATAATAGGGTTATTTAACCCATTTATTATTCAACCTTTTTAAAACAAAAAGGAAATAGTTTTTAAAACAAAAAATGGATATATTTAAACCTTTTTTATTTTCTGACTTAAACTATTCTCACTTACAACATGAATTTGCAGTTTGCGAATAGCTTTGGTCCCTCAGACTGACTTCTTGTGAATCAGTTTTTAACTACTTTGTCCAAACACACCAACAATTCACTGGTGTAGTTATCTGAAGTTAAGTGGGTAAAAATAACGTCAGACATTTCTATCTTAAAACAATCCCTCTGCTACAAAGGCTCTCATACTCTCATTTTTGCTTCTGAACAAAGTACAGTCACAAAAAACCCCCAAAGCCTCTTTTAGCAGCATTAAAGGTGAAGGGTCTCCTGTGTAAAGTCCTGGAAATTTTCTGGTACCTTCAAATATACTGAATGCCCTCACCTCTTCAGACACAGACCCTGCAAAAACGGAGCATGCAGTTTGCTTTCACAAATGCAACCACGCTCCCAGTGCCATCCCCTGCAGAGGTGCCCATTTGGTCACATGTTTTTCATGAGACACGTGTAACCTTTTACAAATGAAGGAGATTAACCTCACAAGCATTTCAGTATATGCATCAGCCGAGCACTTCAAGAAACTTCCTTCAGTTTGGGGGAAAATAAACCCTACTCTTTTTACAGACTAACCACAGCTTTATGCCTCTTAGTTCCAACAAAATTTGTTGAAAGGACTAAAAACTCACTGATAGATCTGAAAATATAACTAAGCAAGCTGAGCAGATCTGCTTCTGTGTTCCCACAAGGAATCTCCTGTTTTGTCAGTGATTTGGAAGGAATGCTTACACTGATGAAGTTTGCGGCTTTCCCAAAAATTCATGGAACAGTAAATAATTAAGAGGTCAAGTCAATGAACCAAGAAAACTGGATCATCTAATAAGGCAGGCACAAGCAAAATGTCTTTTATATATCCAACTGGAAAATTCAATGCCTAGAAGGAAAAAATACCCTTATGGAAAGGATGGTGGACTTTACCCTAGGAAGTAGTGACTCTGCAAATGATTTGGGGGTATCATGGGTAGACAAAATCTACCCCTTTTAAAAACCACCTTGGAGATCACTTTTGCACTTGCACGTGTTCTTAAGAAGCCTGCTAAGGTAAAGGATTCAGTGGGAAGTATTATAAGGAAGCCTGTTCACTTTAGTACCTGGAAGGGAGAAATACAGGATGATTTATCATTCTACTGCCAGTCTTGGAAGGGATGTATTCTAAAGGGAATTAAAAGATTCAAGTGCATCTTTTGGAGTAGCAATATCAAACCAGTAAGCAACAAGAGCAAACCACTCACAATTTAAAACAAATGCCAAACTGCCGAGCCTTGGAATTCATTTTAAAATATTGCCCACGTACGAGCGTTGCCTCCATCATCTCTTCATACACTGTGTTCAACTTAATTGCCCCGTAGAGCTGAGTGGCTGTAGGTTTATTTGTTTGGAACTTACTGGTGATTCAGATATTGCTGCAACCTTCAGAGAATTCTTGATGGAGCTGAGTTCCCACATGTGTAGGTTTATGATGTGCACGCCACAACATCCCCTTGTGATCTTGTACAGGTTTTTAAGTACAGCTTTCCGGAGAAGAATGTACACCCAGGGATCTAAAATCTGATTCCACGTTGCCATTCGGAGAGCAAAAAGTATTGTTTCACAGGTATCCTTTGAATGACTCTCATTTATCCCGATTCTGGCCATTGTCACCTGAAAATGGAACATTTTAAAATTATACATCAAAAAATACATCAAGAGAGCATGTAAATGAGTGAAATAATTTCAACATTATCTCTAATCTTCACACCTTCACAGCATCAGTGCATCCCAATTGCAAAGTAAATACTTTCAGGGATGTAACATCATCCTAGAAATCCTCTAATATTTTACACAGGGTGTACACGTGTCTCTGCTGAACTACTTTTGCTGAACCTTGAAAGGAGGATGGCACCAGCCAGAGAATACCCTCCAAAACCAGGGACTGATTTGAGCAAGGAATAAAAACTTATCCAGAATTTGAGCTAGCCGGGCATGCCAAGACTGTTCCAGGGATGGATTTTTTCAAGGATAGGGGCCACTGGTAGATAAGAAAATTTTTTAGAAAGGCACTTATTTTTTCATATTTTCCAGATTGAGGTCTGCATAAGGGATACAGCACCTTGATTTCATCAAGAAGATTCACACATTCTAAGCTGCAACAGAACACAATTTATTGACACCAGAGGGTTTAGAGGTTTCTAGGAAAATTTAAGCCATGGTGACAAAGGCCACCGATACCCCTCCTCCTGCCAGTGGAGACACAGAGGGTTTCATTCACCTGTGGTGGTGCTGCACATGGACAGACCTCCACGAGCAACACCACTGCTGGAGCCGACAGTTTCACACGGATGGAGGTGTTAGTCTTCCAGCACAGCTCAGCGGGACTGCTTCTGGTGGAGGATACCCAAGAGCTACACCAGCCCAGTAAGCTGTGGTTGGCCTCTCTGCTTTGGAGAGCTGCAACCTAGGCTTTGAAACACCAGGCCTAGTGAAACACACGCCGGTGGGGCTCCTGCCCTGCAGAGCTCTCCCTTACAGGCTTTCTGCCATGGAGGTTTTGTAACCTGAGTTCCTGTGTGAAGAAAGCCTGGCCATGCAAAGCCAGGAATCTGCCAGAGGATGGTAAATTATCTCTGACTATTATTAATGTTAAAAGCACATGAAGACTTTTTTGGTAGAAAGATGAAACACTGTAAGGCTTTCAGTTCCAAAGACTTTAAAGCAATACAGTTATTTAACTAAGAAACAGGATATTTTACAACTGATGCTATGAGTACACTGATTTATTGAGCGATCAGAGGTAGGGTCAGTCTGTCTGAGTGCAGAGGGTTGTATTTTCACAAAGACAGAGTGTAAAAAAAAAAACCTAAAAAATAATAATGAATGAAGAGAGAAAACTCCCACTCAAGATTCCAGCAAACCTATTTTACTCCTTTTCAAATGCTTCTCTGTATTCCTAGGCCCTACCTACAGCTTGCAGGTCACCACATCTGAGTATAAACTTGAGTGGAACAGAGTGAACGCATAAAAGGAGACCGTACTTGCTTGATAAAGCACTTGATCATGCGTTTCTGTATGGATATCTGTGGGAGTGGCAAAAAGAGCCCATAGGAACATTCCTAAGGAAGCTGGTAAGACTGGCAGAAGCACAGCTGGGAATCGGTGCGAGGAGGAGGAGGAATGTCTGAGCACTGAGCCAACACAAACACTTATAGTTCCCTGAATCTGCTTGTCACCCCACAACCATTGGGCACATTCCTCTCTGACATCAGCAGCCCACCCAAACTTGGACAATTCCTTTGGCTTCTGCACGGGATGTTTTCTCAGGACAGTCCTATGTTTTATTTATTAGAGGTCCAATACCACAAGCCAAACTGAGAGGGAATACTCCTTACCCATGCAAGTAGGACTGGGCAGCAAATGACAGCAGAACAGAGTTCATAGACCCACGGTCCTTATCCCATATACCACATGCTTGACTGAATGCAGACATACAACTCCCTAATCTGCTTCTTGATGTACTTCAGAGAGCTGTTTGTTGTTCTTCTCTTGCATTCTGCTAAGTTAATAAATGCCAAATCCAATGCAATTTCATGCCCGGAAGAGGAGGCAGTAGATGTTGCCATCTAGGAAAAGCAGCTTAACCCACATTTTGTAAAACTGTTATTTTGTCACATGTTAACAAGCAAACTTGTGAGATTCACCTCTAAGTGAATCCACTCATTTGCTGTTCAGCATGCTGGCTCAACATGAAGTACCTCTGTTTCGATTAAGGATTTACATAAAGTAAATCAGGACAACGAGGAAATTTGATACATAATTTTATGGATTCTGATACTTGGAGAAGCTTCAACCACAGCATTTAAGTCACCCCTTCTGAATACTGGATATACAAAAAAACAATATATCTGAACTCACAAGTGGCAAGCAGAGCTTATGTACATAGCTTAAATGCTTAAGCAACTCAGCCGTGAATCCCTGTATTGGAAATAATAAGATAAAATCTACATTATCTACAAATTTTGTTTCAGAAAATAAGAATTTTCTAGCTATATTACTGACAGTATTCGGGAGTGTTATGCAGGAATTAAAAAATGTTTCCTTTCTTGTATCACTAAAACCGACATAAAATGATATCCAACTTTTTGAAGTTCTGAGAGTCTGAGATTTCCATATAGGCCTGGACTAAGACAGAGAATCTCAGTCCAAGCCCAAGCATGAGCATTTTTATCCCAAAACACTTGTGGCAGAGCAGCGGTAGTGACAGACATGTTACCATCACATTGGTTCTGGGCATGAAGTGAGAAAACTTCTCACTCCTCCAGAGAGCCTGCACTGTACTGGCAGCTCTTCCACATCTTCTGAGAAAACACGTGAGAAAACACGTAAGAGAAGGGCAGGCGAGTGAAGCCAACTGCATGCAAAGACGGGGCAAAGAAGAGACCATGTCCTGGCTACCAGAGCCTTTCTAAAGTAATCTGGTGATTTCTAGAACAAGACCCTAAACTCCATCTGAAGAGGGGTAGAACAGAGTGAGGCCAATTTAAATTATTATTTCTATCACATTCTCACAGTCAATTTTTTTAATTTAAATTCTTCAAATACTATTCCAAAGTCAGTTTGAAATCATAAATGATAAAAAGGCCTAATACACTACCAGCTGTTTAATAAAGGGTTTCATTGAAGCAGAACATGCCGACGGTCTGTGTTTGCTCCCTAGGTGCGAGGAAGTTGAGCCACTGAACCGGCACCAGCCACCGGCTCGGAAACTGCAGCCAGCGCCTCCTGCAGTGCTAAGCTGACTTCCCCAGGCACAGAAAGGATGCTTCTTTTCTTCTTATTTGACTAATGCTGTTCAATAATTAGTTCAAAGTCAAGAAATCTATTCAAAGACTGACATTTTTTTCCCTTCCCTGTAGGTCCATCAGGTTAGAATGTTGAAGGAATTCTGTCCTCTGCAGCCAGCAGTACACAAGTGAGGAAGCGGAAAGAGGCAACGTGGTTGCATCACTTCGAGTTGCCTTTGATCTCCACAACTGAATTTAGTATTCATGCAGATTCAGCCGTATGACTCAAAAAATTAATCCTGGTAGCTGGTAAATAATAAACATAACTCATGACATTGTCTAACATATTTAGAAATGAAAAAATCCAAGTAGCATTTTGCTGAGTTATACAATGTTTATATGAAGGCAGCTGTAGTACGTCTCCCTGGTTGGCAAAAAAATAAAAGTATCACATGATGTAACCAATACAAGTCAAACTTTCTTTAGGAACGTAACGGGAAAAGCATAACTGGAAAAGCGACTTTTTAAACCAAGGCTGCCTGCTTGCAATATATAAAGTTACTCTGACTCCTATTCATCCTTGTTGGTTTAAGAGAAGACCTGAGAATTCCCTGTCCCTAAAAATAAATACAGAGAAATCAAATTTGTGTGAAGCAAGGACTTGACACAATACGTTAAACTTCTCCATCCTTTTTTCCCAATTTAGGCCTCACTAAAACCAAAGCTCACTTTGCAAAATCCAGAAAGTCTGATGGAAAAGTTTTAAAAACATTTTGAAATTGTTGACTTCTACAACTTTGCATCGAGCAGATAGCATCAGAGAATTGCCGTTTCCCTTAGGGACAAAGCTCAGTGCAACCAACTGAAAAAATATTGCTCCAAAGCTTCACACCACTCTCCAAATCTAAACAGCATGTCTTTAATTTCCCTTCCAATTGGATCTCAATTATATGAGAACAACTAATAAGCTAAATGGCAGTGCCGCTTAGTCACATTCCTGTTCATACTCAAGGACAGACAGTCAAAACGAGCAGCAGACTTCACAGCTAGTGAGGAAATACGGCAAACCATAACACTGCTTTGATGCGTTTCAGCACATAGGCTCTAAATCCAGGTTCTATCCTCAACTTCAGGAAACTGGATAAAAACCAGTCACCAAGAGATGGACACAGAAAGCAGAGCAGACGGGCCAATTTTGTTATGCGCATGCAAATACCAGAAATTCTCTTCCTCTGTAGCTCAGCTTTCAGGCTCCATTTCCCTGTGGGAACCTTGCAGATCCTCCCAAACCTCTTCCTCTTCCTTTGGATTTCATTAGAAGCAGTTCTGAGAATTTCCATTAATGGAAAAAAGTCCATGTTTTTTTCAATACTTGCAGAGTACTTATATTTTGTCACTGACGCCTATGTCGAATCCAGAGGTGCATATCCCCTTCTCCTAAACCACACAGGACTCAAGGCAGTATGCTACTATGTCCTACTCCATGGAAACAAAAAATATATAATTATTTTGAATGCCCAGAAGTTTTTGGAACTTCCATTATTCATACATGCTACAAAGAAGCTGCAGTCTGCCGTAGGCAACAGCTGATAGCAGGTGATACTTTGTAGTACTTTATACACAGAAACTTCAAGGAAAATATTGGCAAAAGAGGGGGAGAGAGAAATCAAAATGTATCTGTCTTCACATTCTATGTACCATTTTATATCTCCTAAGAACAGCCATTAAAAAAAGAAACACTGACAGCAAATTGCCTATCTCATTGCTATATAGATATTGCAGTATATAAACCAAGCGCTTGTTGCAAAAAAGCTGAGCATGCTTCATTTTATTTTTTATGTGATTCTATATAAGTCAGTGTAAAAACAAGAACTTCCATGAAAA